TTGTGAAAAGACCCTCTCCCCAATGTTTTTCTGTCCCTAAGACAAGAGAGCTAAAAAGCTTTCGTTGATGGGGGAAAGTGGAAGATCATGTTCATGACACCTACTTTGTACATAATTCCTACACATCATACACTTCTGCCACAATTATTACTTAATTCATTCCTCTTCAGAAAAATACACCAGTGATTTCGTGGTCGCCCTGTTTATTATCTCCAGCTGTGGGAGCCGGTACCGGCCAGGTGCAAGGACAATAGCTGGCTATTCATTTCTCTGAAATGAACCAGCTGTTCCCCTCAGCATGCACCAAGTCTGGGTCCTGCTGGTGACAACCCTGTTATGGCTGCTGCTGCAACTTTAATTTTATTTTAAGAGCTAATCCAGACTGATCGTCTGAGAACATGCCTAAGTATAGTGAGGGGTAAGTACATTTTACAGAAAGACATATTCCAGGCTTTAAATCTGTTGTAGAATAGCTTATAGGTCTGAGTGAGCTTTTGGATTTTTCCTTCAGATTCATGGGAGACGTTGATTGGTACAGTTAGATAATGTCAGGTAGGGAATTGCTCACCTGCTATTGATGTCCACTGAACTCTGTGTTCCAGCATATGGGTCAAATTGTGACCTAAGTCACCAGAGATAGCAGTCACAAGTCCAGTGCCTGACAAAAAACATGTGTGGATGACAAAGAAGAGCCTGAAGTATATTTCAGCCCCATGAAGATCCCAGAGCCAGCAGAGAGTCCATTCCCTTGGGTCTGCTTGTGACCAAAGGACTTGGTCTGCGTTATGCAGCTTAGAGGTCTTAGGACAGCACTGCTTCTGTCTTTTTACTACATGGACTCCCAAATGTAAGGAAAGGGGAGGGAAGGGGATGCTGCTGACAAAGAGTTCATAATGAACTGATGGCATAGGAAAGAAAAGTTGCCTGTTAAATGTCACAAGGCCTCAGGAGTCTGGACTGAGGATCCAGGTCCCAGTCATTTGCTCTCAGAAGTATGAAATCCATCATTTCCCATTTAAAAAGCAAATAAGACTATCTGGGTTTTCAGAGAAATTCTGGATCTGGTTTCAAGTTTGATTGTTCACCAAAACATTAATTGTGAGTTTTTTAAAAATTGCTTTGAACAAGACATGTTGTAAGAAAGGAAGAGATGTAATTTGCAGCTGTATGAAAACAATGCAAAAAAAAGAGAAACTCAGAAAATATTTTCTTAGTCTTGATGATGTCATTCACAGATCTATTTCAACTAATTGTTTTTAAATTAATAATTTTCTACTAATTGTTTTACTTTAAATACTTTTTCATTATTAAGAAATGGAGACAAAACCTTAAGAAATGGAGACAAAACCTACTCATAGCTATGGCTGTTACATTTAACTTAATGAGATTTTCCTCCCTCTCTTTCTCAGCTCATTTCTATTATCCGTCAAAATTCCCCATTGAAGAATGTACTTTCTTCCTCTGAGATTTCTGCTCACTTCCCCCCAGCTGAGAGAAGGAATTTGCCAGTACTTTGACCTTTCACTCTGTACTAATCCAACTTGTGTCAGTAGATGCCAAAGAGAGCTTAGTTTTTTCATATTTTCCCAGTTTTATCTGCCAATAGTGTATCATTCTTTGCATAGACTCAGGTCTGCAGAATAGTCCATTTTGTTCTACAGGCCAACAAAACAAGACTAATGGGATGCTGTAAATACAGTACTAAACCCCATGAATAAATGAAACTGCAAGCTTTGAGAGAGGTCACTCAGAAATAGCTTCAATTCCAATAGACTCTGTATTAGTGACTCAAAATTGTGTACATAGCCAATGAAACCTTCAGTTCATGCTGAGATACAGGTATAGGGACTGCTGCCTATTTTTTGTGAATATTGACTTTTCTTCCAGGCGATCTGCCTTCTCTTCCTAGCAATTCCACACACTTATGGTGTGATATTGAGCAAATCATTCTCTCTAGTTTAAAATCTCATGTTCATTAGAATGATGGGACCATGATATGGCTGTCCCTTGTAAAATGCCTTGAAATCCATGGATAAAAGCAAACCTTACATTGAAAAATTATTGGCATTATGCATTTACAAAGCAACTTGTAAGAACCTCATAATGCTATCCTGAAATGATACAAAAATGCATAGTTTTTCAGGAGTGTTTTAGTTAGATGAAGCTGTCTGAAAAGGCCATAATCCCAGCTCAAGGACAATATCTTTGTTTTCTATTTTCATTTTCAGCTTTGGCCCATATCATGTCAAACTCAGAAATCACTAATATTTCCCGCAAATGACAAGTTCCCAGGGGAAAAAAAATAATCAGAAATACCAAGGAAGGATCCCTTCCAAGACAAAGTACATTCCCAAGTGAATCCTGCATTATAGACAATGTGGTGCCTCAGGCAGGGGGTAAGGAGGAATAGAAAATTAATCTTGCAGGATGCCTGAAGAGAACCAGGCATACCTTGTGTATTTTAGCGTTTCTCTTCTTTTTGTGTTTTAACCTTAATGCTTAGCCAAAATTCAAGGTTCTGTAGTAATTTTCTGTTAGGAAGAGTAATGATAAGAGAGGTGGGTGTCTTTGACACAGCTCCAGTTGTTTACAATGTACAAGACTTTGCTTCCTTGAACAGGCAGAAACCAGCAAGCTGGAGACAGCTGCTCAGAAGGGGGTCTGGCATGGCCAACTGCCAGTGCTCCAAACAGCAAGATCACAGGAGATATTCCCAGCACCATCTTCCCTGTGCTTATTCACACCCTAACGTATGCTTGGCTTTACCTACTCCCTCTTCGGTCCTCCTGAGCTGCTTGTATGGAGACACAATCCAGGCAGTGGGTATTGCAACCTGAGGTCTCTCAAAGTCCCCCCTGCTGGCTACAGCGTCGAATTAACAGGGGCCTCAGATAATTTCAATGAAAAGTTGAAAAGAAGCTTTCAGGGCAATCTGAAAACTCAGAAAGGAGAAGATAAGAGAACACCCAATGTACTTGCTTCACCACAGAAAAATACCCTTAATGTGAGGGCATTTGTTACTCTGGGTCTGGCTGCTGCTACAAACATCTGAGATCTGTGATTTTCAGTAGACTCCATTAGGTAACAACTCAATACACTTCTGCCATAAGTAATAGTTGGGATGATGTGGGCAGAATGGGGATGGGTAAAGGTGATAAAGTACACAAAGGTGGTACAGAAATGCCAACAGCATCTCTACTTGGCACAGCCGTTGCTGCCAAACTTAACCTCAATGCCATTCCTGTCACAGATTGAAAGGTCTCTTCTTGCTTTAAGAAGTCTTTTTCAACTCTCAAAATAAAAGCGGGTTGAGTACCACAGAGCTTCACAACAGGAAAAATGCATGAACTCAGTGTAAATTATAATAATGAAATTGTAGTATATATGTAATTTCTAGCAGAAAAAAATCTTCTATGAGCCAGGAAAAAGAAAAAAAATTAAGGTCTTTTTCATTATCTAATTTACCATCATTCCTTGATATCTCCAAGTAGGGCTGGGGGCTCTGGGGTAGATCATTAAAGCTCTTTCCCTCTTTTCTGCACTATAGACCTCTGCACTACAGAAAAGAGAAGCTGGCATTGGAACCTGTAGCAATGCCACAAGCTCTAACAATGCTAGTGAATCCATAGAGAATTTATGGAGTATAGCCCCAGGCACATGATGAAAAGGGCAGAGAGAGTGAAGGTGATATTCAGTCTTTGGAAACACTGAGAAGAGATGAAGTTTCTTGGAAGAGATGACCTTTTTTTTTTCTCTAATCAGAAAGAGTAGGCTGTCAGTTATTGAGTTTGAATTTAGATTGCAGTGTTGTTCACTTCTCTGTTACAAAACTAGATAGATTTAATGTCCAGACCTGCAAATCCTTTGCAGTGAAACAAGAAAAAAAATGTCACAGAATTAAGACCAGTTAATGGAAGCGTATGCCTGAATGGCCTGTGGGGTGTTCCCATTAACTACTGTGCTGATTTATATTGTTGTCATCACAATCTTTTTGCATTATGTCTCATTATACTCAAAGAATATTGTTACAATTCGATTGGAATTTGTCTTCATGGGAGGCATTGTCCTGACTGAAGGATGAGGGTGATATTTCTGGGCAATCTATAATGCAATTGGCCACCTATGACTGCCAGCTCACATACACTGTATCTTCATCACCACACACAGGGCCAGCTCAGAAGCTGGGGAATGGTTAATGCCCACACCTGCACTAAACCTTCAGGTGAAAGACAAACAATCAGCTTCGTGTGGGACTGAGGAAGGGAAAATCCAGGCACCTCCCTCCCTAGTTCAGGAGGAGTTGAAAGCAGCTGCTCGGTTCACGCTCATGCTGGCCAGAACAGCCTGAAGGCGGCCTGCCCGGGGGATGACGTGTGCACACATTGCAACTAATTGCACTCTGTACATCAGACTGCAAAAACCAAGACAAATTAATCATCATTTCACCTTGCCAAGTAAGTAAATACTGAAACCCTCACCTTGCATACAGGAAAAACAAGTCACAGAAAGAGCTGGGGCCAGTGCCAGGTCTGGGAAACAGCTATCCAAACTTTCTAGTATGCTAGCTTTCATCCTGCCCCCCTCAGGCAACACAACTGATCTCTTTCAGAGTCAGACTCAGGTTAGCTCCTCTGGAACAGGGGAAGGTGGCAGTCAACCTGTCATGGTATCCAGTGTGCTCTCTCTTTATGAGGAGCACTTTGGACTTCTTAACTTTTGGCTTCTTGTAACTTGTTCTTTCTTTGTTGAGATGAATTGAGGTCTCAAGGAGCCCCACACAGTATTTCTAGAGGATTCTGGTTACTACTATAGTAGCAAAATAGCAGGCACAACAAATAACAGTGACAAGCTTTGAAGAACAGCTAATATTTCATTTTCATCTAATTTTCAACATTTCTTATGTGTGCATACAAATACAGAAAGATTCCCCCTAAAAAATAAAACCAACAGCCTAGACTTTCCTTAACTCAGAGGCATAACAGTAAGTGCTTCACAGGTCTGAGTTCATTTAACAGACTCTCTGCTTGTAGGACCATGAGACTGATATAAGCATGCAAGTATGGTTCAGTTTGCAAACCTTTCCTCTCACTACAGGACAAAGAAAGAAAATGTAATAAATAAGTAAATAAATTTTAAAAACACAACATCAAACTTATCAGAGAAAATAAGATGCTTGGCCAAATCTGGTGCTCTGGGAGAGCTGACATCTGATTTATCCTACTAACACATCAGTAATTCTCTGTGCTATAAAAGAACTATGTGGTTCAGCTTGTTTGCTCTCAGGGTTTTTCCTGAAATCCCCTAGTCACATACTCAGGAAGGAATCCTTTTATCAAAGAACCTTTGCACTTTGCACCACAAGTATTGTCCATGGCTGCTATTGCCCTTCATTATAGCCTTGAAGGGGACTGACTGAGTGATGTGGCAGCAATGTGCTGACACCAGAATTTGGTTCCAGTTTGACGAGATAAGGCAAACACATAGATTTTGGCACTTACATTCAGGAGGGCTAATAACAAAGGTTAGGTCTCTGTGGACATTACCAGGTCAGTGACAAAATTCTAGTTATCCAAAATACCAGCAGGGACTCCAGCTGTATAGGGAAACAAAAGTGCAGAGCAAAAGGAACATGAGGAAGAGAAAAGAATTTGAACCAGCTGAAGCAGTTCATCTCCAGACAAAACCAGCATGAGTGAAGGTAGTCTTTATGTGCATAAGGGTAGAGGGGACAGATTTTGTGCTTGCAACTTGTTAGGGAAGGCAGTAAGCCCTGGCCTTTTCTTTCCAGAAAGCAGAAGGATAGACTGTTCCGCATTTAAAAAAAAAAAAAAAAAAAAAAAGGAGAATTCCCACACTGGACTGTTCTTACTCCACCTGTGCAAATACTTTTGTATCCACTGGCAACTAATCTGGAAGGCCCATCTGCTTCCAACCAACACATAAGCACCCACTGATCCCAACTCACTTGCTGTTACTCTAAGTCCCCTCATTTTACCAGATCATAGAAAAGGAAGAGGAGGAAGAAATCCAACAGATTTACTCTAATCCTTGAATGCAGCTTTGGATCTGCTTTGTATGGTCTCAGAGCCACCCTCTCATCTATATAAACAATGCCCCACGCTGAACAGGAGGTTCTGTATAGTCTGTGGAGAAGATAAAGGACAGAAGAAACAGTAGTGAGAAACAGTATATAGTTTAGGAAAGCATAATATAAGTTTGCATCTTATGCCAAAAAAATCCCACCAGTTTTCTTGGCTTGTTTTACAAGAACTTGCTGAAGTTTAAGAGGCAGAGAGTAATTTTACAGTCTCTGACACGTTTAGCTGACTAACAGAGCAAAAAAACTTGAGAAATACCTTTCACGTTCAAAGGTACAAAATAATACATCTTGTGGTTTGTATCAGCCTGGTTTTCTACATGCCTAGGATTTAAATACAAATCTCTGCCAAACATAGGGAGTTTTTAAGGGTGTTAAATTGCCTAGCCCTTTTTACAATGTGCAAAGTGATTTGAAATCATTGGGGAACATTAATATTTTGTGGAGAGAGTTCCAGGTTGGAAGACTGCAGTTTGCAGCACTAAGACATATAAATCACTTCAGCTGTGGTGAAATGTGATGATTTGAAGCCATTGGGTTTGGAAATGGAAAAAAGACATGATCTTGAAAGATTCAAACTGCTTTGAATATGTTAAGCCCAATCTTACAGTTCTGATCGAAAGATATTCAACAAACATCAAAGTACAAGCTGTAAGATCAAATACTTTCTGCTGGAAAACTTCCAATATAACTTACCCTTTGTAGCTCTGCATATATTTAGAAACACTGGGCCTAATCATACAGCAGTTTGCACTTGATGTAATCACCTGCTGTTGTGCAAAGTGAGCACAAACACCTTTTCTAATTTAGTAATAATTGTACGTCATTTTGCCATCATTGTGAAAAGGCACAATGAACAAATGCTCTCTTCTGCAAGGAGAAAGAAGCTGGAGATAAAATTTTCTTGCTTCCATGAGATTGCCTTGCTATAATAAGCAGAAAAAAGATAGAAAGATGAAGGACACTCACAAAATTGTAGAAGTTACATAAAATGAAAGTGAAAAAAGACTGGAAGAACACCGGCTTCATTCCTACGGGCAACATCAGCTGGAGAGGAGGAAAATGCTATCATCCTCTAACCTTGCTCATAGGCATTCTTGAGGACCAAAGGGAAAACACAGCTTTCATTCCGTTTATATATTATTTATGCAAGACTTCCACTGTCTGAGACCTAGTACTGTGCTAATAGGAAATGTTAAGAAAGGAAATCTCTAAAAAAAGGATTTAGGAACAAACAGCTGTCAATTGGTGATGCTCGATAAGATGTAATTAGTGACGTGGGATCAAATGGCATGTGTTTAAACATTACACTTGCTTCTAAAAGCCATTGTGTATCCACAGAAAAAAGAATTAAACACATTTCTAAGTTTACCAAATTTCTAAGCACGCCAAAATCATTCTTCTGAAAAAATTTCCCTGCCTTTTGCCATGACTTAGATCAGCAGTAGGAATGATATGAGAGAGCAAACTGAACTTCTATGTGCAGGTTGTGAGGAGTTACATATTTAGCTTGATTAGTCTTTGCTATTGCAAAAGATATCTGACCTTTTCTGGAGAAGCTCAGTGCTACCTCTGCCTCATAGCAAGCCCTTGCAAGTCTGGAGGGGAGAGTGGTGACAAGTTTGCTGCCTGCCTTCTATGGAGTTCCATTCAAGCTTGGATGACAAACAGCATTTTTCAGGTTGCTGCAGTCCTTTTGCCATTTGCATTTGCCCCACCAATATCCTGCCAGAATAACAGAGCATGAGCCCTTTGTGAAGAGGGAGGATAGATTATGCTACCAAGAACAACTCCTACAGGGATCCAGAGTGAGACCCTGCTTATCCATCTTCCTCGTGGAGGACTTGTATGTAAAAATGCTTATCAACATGGAGATAATGATTATCAATAAGTATGTATGTTCATCATACAGCATTTATATATGTTCTAAACCGAGTTTAAACATTCTAGAATTATAAATGACACCTTCCATGGCACCTTAATTTGGATCCTAGTGTATGTACAATGAAAGATAACCTTTAATTAAATGTTATTCCTTTTATTTTCTCACAGGGATCTTGTCATATAGTGAGAACAGCAATAAGAAAAAGAAGCAAGATTGGGAATTAATGAGGCTCCTTGCTTCATTTGCTCCACCATGTAGGAAATGAAACTTCTGCAAAAACGAAAGGCAAGAGACTACAGGAGAGAGCATGTCTTTTGGAATAAAGCAAGTGAACATTGGAAAACGAAACTCACTCATGTCTCTGCCACTGCTACACAATTCCTCCCTGACTGTAACCACAGCTCCCTCAGTCTGCTCCCTGGACAGTGAATCAGCAGTTCAGACACAACAGGGCAGAAAAGAAAATGTGTGGGTCAGTATAACATGGGCCAACATTAGGGTGTCTGGCAGCTCTGGAAATCAGAAAAGACCAACACTTTGTAAGAAGAGGAAGGCAAAGAAACAGAACATGACACCCAGTAGGATTAAGTACCTGTTAATATCCTATGTGATACAATACAGTTCTTACTTAATAGAAAATGTGTATTTGGCAAAATTCCCCTTGGGACAGTTTTTAAGGTCCACTCCAATACATGAAATACCTAAGTTCCCACAAAGACAAGTTACTCTATTTGAAACAACAGAAAGTACTTCCCCAATTTTTCTTCCCATTTTCTCTGGTACATTAAATGACTTAATTTCAGAAGTGAGCCAAGGAGTAGCGTTAAGGAATCAACTAAAGTTCACCTGTGTTGTGGTGCTGACCAGGAGACTGCTGTGCATCAAGGAATCAGTCATCCACTCCACAGCTAACCTTAGCAGTCTTGGGCCTGTGCTGTGCCATGCTGCATATGCAGCATGGCCTACAGCCTGTGCTGTGCCCCACACATGGATAACCTAGTCAGGACTAGGTTAGTGGTGCATAACTGCACAAATTCAAAGTACAATACTTACACTGGAGAGTTTCCACCAAAAAGCCCTGGTGCTACCTGGAAAGCCACAGGGATGGGCTCTGTGATCAGATGCCTTTATGAGAGATTTTTCTGGGATTTATGGGCTAAGAATTCAAATGGCTATTTTGTCTGCCCATTATGCAAAGATGGAGATGTTTCGCAGTATAACAAGTAGGGTTATGCTGCTTGGGCATACCCTAGAGCCACAAAGTAAAACAAAAAAATTGAGATACCTGTAAAATGGACTGCTGGTGTTACAGAGACACAAACTCACACTTTACCTTCTCCAACAAGCTCAGAGATATCACTCAATTGGACAGTCACCCCAAAAGGCACATCTCAGAGGCAGAAGGTGGAGGCCTCATGCCCACCCCTCACTCTGTGGGCCTCCAAGTGAGGAGGAGCTACGTGGCTGTACCCACGGTAGAGACAACAGTGTCCCCGGAGCAGAGCCCCTTCTCACAATCATGGGCAGGACTGGGCTGAGCACCCAGAAGAACCTCAGGTTTACTCAGGAGTCTTATTCCGGACTTGTCCCCCAGGATTGCTGCCTTCCAGCAACCAGGAGACCAGGTCACTCAGCAGCCTTCACACCTCTACCACCCCAGTGAACCTTTAAACCTGAAACACATTTCATGCCATATTCCTTCAAACCATAATGCTAATGGGTGAAGACAGTAATATAAACCTCGCTCATGAGACAAATGTGTCTAGAGTATGATTGTATGTCCAAGCTGTGGCCTTGGTATCATCTAGTTGATGGTATGGTATCCCTAACTACTGTAGTTATGAAGCCACAGGATCATGATGTTATGCCTGAATGGCCTGATGTGTACTATCTGTGCTGAGGATGGAAACCTGCATAAGTACTGAACGCAGTGATAAGACTCATGATTTTCATGACTGCCCTCTTGCTTCTATAGCCACAGCCTAATACATGGCTTGATCTCATGTGAACCATCCCATTTACTTATAGATGTTTGCAAAAATAAAGATTCTACGAAATACAAAAGCATTCTTAGAAATCTGGTGTAAAAATATTTATTTCTTTTGTGGTCTTGCCTTAACCATACAATACTCTCAGATTTTAGGTTTAATGAAAACATTGTCCTTGTACTGCAGATAGTACAAGGCTTGGAAATGACCCATTCACAGCCAGAAAATAAGGAAAGCAAAGAAAAAGCACCTCAAGCCTTCTTTAAAAAAGAACTTTCCAAAATCTAATTTTTGCGTCAGCCTCTTGATATTTTTGCAGCCTGACTCATAAAATGCTGAGTGTATGTGGGAGAAGTGGAGTGGGAGTGAAGGGATGGCACTGCCATTTTAAAAATTATAAATAGATAAAGTGCCAACTGTCTGCATACTCTCAAGACATCACTATCTGGCCAAGATCATTGCCATCATCTGTAACTAATAATGCAAAGATGATTAGTTTTGTTTCTTACATTTACAGGAGAGTAAATGAGATTTACATGAGACTTGACAGTAACACAAGCAGCTTGCAAGGTACGGCTCAAGTTAGGAGTTTTCTAGACAGTTTCAGTGATGTTTCTTTTTTTGTTTAAAATAGAGATTATCAACATAGCAATTTAAAATATGTGCTTGCATGATCACTAGCAGTCTGGATTGCCATAAAGCAAAAATTTCCAGTATCATTTAGTTTGCACTGTTTATACCGTTTACTCCCTCTTGCTTCTGCTGACATGAATTGGTTTTGTTTCCTTTTCTGCAGAAGTGTTTCACCCCTGGCTGTCACCCACCGCAACATCCTGCTGGTGCGCGGGCTGCAGATTGCAGAGGGGAAGGTTTCACTTTTACATCGAAGTGCAAACCCTGCTGTCTTTGGCTGCTTTAAAAATGTAAGGGAAGCACGTTGCATACAGGCCTAAACTTAGTAATGGCAGTGGGACTGCAGTATTGCCATTTTTTAACCCTTCGTTTTCTGGGCCACATATTGTTATACTTCTAAGACAAGATGTGTTCAGTAATATCAACAAAGCTGTCAAGACCCTTACTAGGATGCACACCTCTGAATGGGGTCCCAAGAATGATTGGGAGCTATTTTTCTCACTATACAAGGTGTTTGAGAGGAAACCAAGCTGATGTGTGCTTTAAACTTACGGGTGCCTTCCAACTAGAAATATTCTGTGATTCTATAAACTACCAAAAGTGTTTATAGAGAAGAGAACAATTCTGAGAAGTCCCATTATGACACTTCCCCACTATCAGTCCAGCTGGCTGGGCTTGCTTAAATGCAACACAATACAAATGTAAGCGCACAGAGCGGCATTGTATTCCACACCACAAAGACGCAGGTTAGGGAATCCCACTCTTGGCTCTGAGCAAACCATTCAGCCTTCGTGTTGCTTGACACAAAAGTGCAAACCAGCTTCCCAGGGAGTCTGAGGCACAGTTTTTTATGTAGTGATTTCTCCTCACCTGCTGACATGTTTTTTGGCACACCATGTGCCATGCAGGGGCCTGGCAGCAACCTGCACCCACCTGCTGCTGATGCTCCCATTCTCTTCAAGCCAGAACCATTCGCCAAGATCATAAACAGTCTCTTAGTGGATGCTTAAGGAGAAAATCAGACATTTTTGTATAAAGCTGAGGACTACTCAGTGCCTCTGCTTCCCAGCACAAGATCCTGGTGGACTTAAGACATGTATGTGCTGATCCCCTGTGGACATATGTCTGAGACAGGCACTTTGGTGTTCAGCACAGAGGTGGCAGTGCCTCTGGGTGTATGGAGGCTCACCTGATTTTAGGTTTCCAGTAAAGTTTTCCAGTCAAACCTTAGGTTTGACTTAGGTGGACTTGGATCTACCAGAGTACCTTGCAAACATCACATACTTGAATTTAAGTATTCCAACGCCACTGAAGGTACCTGCAATGCAATTATTTCCATGGTTGTATCTTGACTTCTGTGTGAACTGCTACATAGTACTGAAGTCCTGATGAATGGTGGTGTCTTCAACTGCTGTTGACTATCTTTTTTTTTCTCTAAGAAAACTGAAAACAGATATCCAAGAAAATCATACTGTGCTCCAAAATACAAGTTTATAAAGGAAGCTTTTTAGAACATTAGCTGCAGAGACAAAGCAAGGCCTCTTCACTCATAAAGACCTGGCAGTAATACATCTTCTATTACCGAAGCTTCACAAAAGACCTAATTCTGCAAGATACAGATATTAATTATTCTAACATGATATTCTGTGGCACTTAGCAGACTTAGCAAAGACCAGAAAATGCAGATCACTATATTCCCATGCAAACACAATTGTCATCTTACTGAGTGTTTCCCCACTCAGAAAAAATAGGTTTTAAGTACCTGTTATACCAATACATACACATATTATGTGTATGCATAATTATGTATATGCGTAATTGTATATTATGCATATACAATTACATGGTACGTACGTGCAGTTTTCCTCTCTGGAGAACAGCTTTAAGCATGGCAAGGTGGCAGCAAAACTCTTAGTGTCACTCAGCTTACAGTGGTCGTGCAGGAATAAGCTCCAAAAAGGAGCAAGATGATGGACATAATGCTGCTGTATTTGTGAAAATACTGTACTGGAAAATGCTCAGGTATAACTCTAAGCATTTCTCTGAAAGGACATTTCATCTGGATTTGATTTGACAAGACTTCGGAGAGTGTTTGTAGGTCACACTACTCCCTCTCTAGGTTACCAGACTGCTATTTAACCTCACCGAGTCGCCCAGGTGGTCTGGCAGAGATAAGCATAATCTGCAATGACATCTAGGCTACACCACAAGATAATGCTGCTTCTGGTGCATTATTCAAAATACCTGCCAGCAGACTAGCTTCAGCTGCTTAAATGTGCATCTACAGTGCATTTCTGGCTAAAGCTGTACACAGAATGGCAGAACTAAACTGAACTGCCACCCTCAGGAAAACTTTATTGGAATAATTTCACATTAGAGCAGTTTATGTAACTAGAATCCTAAAAACACTGCTTTCTAGAAACACTATCAAGCACTTATCCTCAACTAACCCATTCAACTTATTTTTAAAACAGAAGTACCTGCAAATTTTGACCATACAGATTCCTGGAAATCATTGGACTGGAGCAGTTCTTCAACCTGCTCTTGACGTTTTTGAGAATGCCATTTCAGATCAAAATGCTGAAGAGATCTTTCCTGGAAAATCAAATCCTTAGGAGATCTAAATTGGTATAGGTGCTGGCTCTTAGAGCAAAGGTAGATCACTGTTTCTTAACATCACCTGTAACATCAACAGTCTTGACTAGGATCCTGCCTGCATGTATTGGAGAGCACTAATCGGTAATTTTGTCCTTGTCTTTTACTCTGATACATAATAAATGCACTGAAGGGGACAGTTTGGGTCTTTTTCATAAGCTTAATAGACAGTTTACAAAGTAAAAAATTAACTGATCTGTAGGAAAGCAGAACGCCCCCCCTCCCCCCCCCCCAGTATTCTGGCATATATCATCATCTCTTGGGTTTCAAAACAAAGTATGTCACACTGACTTTGGTCCTTAAAGGTATCCAGGCTTAAATATGACTCTGGGCCACCAAACTCCTATTCTTCGATCTAGTCAGATCACCTGCTCCAAACAACTGTCAGAGAACTGAAACACCTTTTTTTGGTCTAGGAGCTCATTTTCCTTCAAGTTGCTTTGTTCATATTTAGTTCTACCTTTTGTGACTGACTTTGGAATGAATCATTTTCTTACATATCAGACAAAAAGATCTGTAACAGACCAAACATCCCATACTTTCTCAAGAAAGACATGAACAAGAACATGAATTTTGCAAAATTACTGACTTTGCCAGCTTCTAAAAAAAACACCTTGGGTTTTTTTTAAGTCCTCGAAAGCATGATTCCCATAATACAGTTATCAGACAGAGGATTTTCAAGTAATGCTGAACATCAATTATGATGCAGAGTGTGGAACAAATGTTTAGGACTTGTTTTTATATTAGGTGGAGGTGATACAAAGATAACAAAAAGGGTTAATGTTTTAATATGGAGCCCTAAGGCCAGTCCTGTGACAATTATTGGTTCATGTTGTGTCTCCTCGGCAAACGCTCTGCAACTGTTTAAACATACCTAGCATTTTGTGCTGCTGGAGTAGAGGAGAATCTCAGCTTGTTCCTAAAACATCCAACTAACTTTAATTAAAACCACTAATATCAGTGGCAATATAATAAGTTTTCAGCATGTATGAATTTCCTGCTCCCCTTACTCTTGTTCTTTCCTTCAAGTGTTTTTTTGTGGCAAAGATAATCAGCTTTACACAGCTATGAATGGC